AAGGAAAGAAACGAGTTAGAAATGTCTGTTTAAGGGGTCTGTTCAGGGCCGGCCCTAGACTTTTGGGGGCCCTAAGCGAGCTTTGGCTTGGGGAGGGGTCCGGGGGCATGCTCCCCCGGGACGATTTTAAAAAAATATTGAAGTCAAAAGCATCAATCTGGTGCACTTTGAGAGCAAAAATTAATTAAGAGATCTATGGATACATCTCAACACCCATATAAAACAGAACTGTAAACAGATTTTTCTGTATGGATATTTTACAAATCACTCCCCTTTTAAACTGCATTCTTGTTTTGTCATATAGTATTTCATAACTGTTTTTCATTTATTCTCTGGCTGTCCATTTCATAATGTTCACATAGAAACTAGCTGTCAATAGGAATATCAGTCAGAAGAATTATAATTTCATGCAAAAATCTGTCACAAAAAGAGGTTGCACATTTAAATTCAGGTGTTGTTATGGCAACGTCACTGGCCAAACAGCCACATTTACTGCTGCAAATACATTCAAACATGCTGTTGACATGTAAAGCAGTGGCGACTATACCACCATTTCAGCTGACTTTTTCTCAGAAATACTGTCACATAACATCCATATATTTCAGTGCTAGGTTGATGCTTAGCTAAGCTAACTATGAAACACTTTAACTGACAGAACTCATGATCAACTGTGTACTGTAAGGTAGCTTCTAGCTTCATGTCAAAGTCAACATTTTCCAGAGAGCTTTCTTTGAAATCACCAGGCAACGCTAAAAAACATTACATTTAGATTGTATGACAAAGTGTTTATTTAATATATCTGGCTAGCTATAGCTACTTGCTAACGGTTTAGTTTACCCCCGCGATTCAAAGTAACGTCAACGTAACTGTAATTTATGCTTTGCTTACATGTTCGCATAATTTGGAAGTTTACTAACATTTACATACCTGGTTTACCTGGCTTGGCTCTGGGGTTGTTTTGTGAGCCACCACTTGAGAATTGTCGTCTTTTTTAAGAAAATGTTCTCTTATGTCCATCTTCAAAAACTCTGAGTCCGACTGACAGTTTATTTTAAACATTGTCACAGCTCACAGGATAGGTACCTCTCAGCCAATAAGACAGATGTTTATTTCCATTCAACTGGTCTGGTGCCTTGCCTCTGTTGCATTCACTGAACACGGGAAATTACAATCCTGCCGTCCTCTCTAGTGTCATGATGAGGTTCAGGTAAAGCAGGATTAATGTATTATATTATTGACTCAATAATATAATACATTACTTTGAGAGTAGGCAATCTAGGCATATTAACAAAATTAATTAAACATACTTATCACGGCGACGGTGTACTGAGCTTATTTTCCTTTTTTTTGTGCTAGGGGGCCCCTTAGTGGCTGCGGGGCCCTAAGCGGCCGCTTATGTCGCTTAATGGGTCGGGCTGGCTCTGTGGCTAATACATTGCAACATAATGAAGATATAGCTTATTTTGGAAGCTAGTTTGATGTAGTTCTTAGAGGAAATGAGTACAGTTAGTATTCATTTCGCTAAACGGTTCTTAGTATACTCTGTTAGTACTTAACGTAATCATTTGTGCATTTGATGGGCTTTAAGTCTACAGTACTCTGCCTCCCTGCGGCCTGTAAACACATTGTATGTATGGTCTGTGTTATATTTTAGATTTCCACTTCCACTGGTTAATGCTCTCTCCTGTGTGCAGGACTCAGAGGCTGGAGCAGGTTCAGAAGGTCCTGCTGGACGAGATCAACAAACTGGAGAAGAATGACACTGTGCTTAAAAGCATGGAGAAAGACCTGACTGTGTGTCTCTCTCACGTTTTGACTTTTTGGAAAATAATTTTTAAAGAAATATTGCCAAAATAAACTCAAACTATTAAACTACTCGTTAATGAAATTGTCATTAATTGTGACGTGTTTTCGATGTTGATTTGATCAGTGTTCGGTCTCTGTTCTCTCACAGGTGTATTGGAAAAAGCAGGCTGTTGCTTTCCATTCTTACCAGGAGCGGGAAACCACGAGGTGAAAGTTAGGCCTCTCTTTATGTGTGTGTGTGTGCGTGTGTGTGTGTGTGTGTGTTGCCCTACACACTTGTTTATTCCGTGTAACAACATGGATTAAAAGGCTTGCAAAACAAATTCTTCCTCAGGCTTAAGATAACCTACTTTTCAGAGGGATGTGACCAGACTTTCTTCATATGACTAAGCTGAGTTCACTTATGTTTGTTCAGCAAGCTTTTCCTTGCCATTATCCAGCCAGGCACCGCTGACCGGACTGGAATTGGCCTTGTTATACCCAGATTTCTCACGGTCAAAGCAAATGGCTTTCACATAATATAAGTTCATTGTGACCTTTACAAGAGAATGGCCACAACAGGACTTTTTGTGTTACCATGGAGCGATCCAGGTTCATGAACATACCTCTCCTCTCTATGCTTTAATCAGCACTTATGATCCAATCAGCATTTCTAAAAATGAATATATATAAGATAATTAAGATTCCAACATTGTTTCACTGGACAAAATGAAGTCTGACTTTCCTCATCATACGCAGTTTCTGATTTGTATCCATGCATTGTTCCTTCTGTCCATATAACAGTCAAGTATCTCAGTTCCCTCTTATCTTACTGCCACCATTGTTCAGAGAGAGTAAGTGTCATATTTGAAAGGGAGCCAATGGTGCTTTTTAAGGCATATCATGAAAAACATATCATGAAAAACAGCACATCAAGTATATCTTTAAAGCAATTTGAATTACCATGAACTGTCACTGTGTAAAGTAAACCACATTTTACATTTACTTGTTTTTACTTTGCCTCTCCCTCATGCGGTTGTGTGTCACTCTTTCCAGCAATGAGACCCTGAAGACGGCCCTCCAGAGTAACGTGTGCCACAGCTTGGAGTATGAGGAGAGAATATTCACATCCCAGGTTAAAACCTTCACATCTAATATGTGCGCCATTGTGTTGTCCAAGTGTTAGACTCCATTAATAGATGTATAAATCAAGACTTTTGGTGGCATATGAAGAATTTTCAATCATAGTTGAACTTTCTTTATTGTTTTTTAAATAGAGCTTGTGTCACCTCTATCCGTCAACCTGTCTTTCCAAGGATTTTTCGCTGAGTAGCCTTAATAGAATTTCGCTTATGTCATTGTCTCATGTGTCAACTTGTCCCCTGCTTGTCCTGACTGTCATATTCTGTTACCACCTCTGAATCGTTGCTGCTCTGCCTGCCATCAGATGTGCCTGATAAGGAAAGACATGAAGTCAGTTCAGGACAGACTCCTCAGCGAGATGGTGAGTGGACATGTGACCATTCAGCGAGGATTAGAGCAAAACGTTTACTCTGGCTTTTCCTTTTGTGTCCTTCACTCTGTCAGCAGTAACACTGCTCATTTGAAAGCCTGTACAACACACACAGACTTGAGATGAGTTATGATTCAGATCATGTTGTGTAAGGCATCAAATGAACTGTCTTCTTTGTGCTTGTTTACCTTTTTGCAGCAAGACGGGGAGATCAAGAGTGTGAAGAGAGGCCTGCATGCTTTGTTTTTCCCCTGATAGAGCCATATGTTGAGCTGAAGACCATCCTGCACTGTAAACAAGGTTGTGTATTACACCGCCTCATGCACACTGCGCGCTGTGTAATTTAAAAGTGTTGATTGTTCCAGGTTCTGATTTTATTCCATGTGGATGTCTCTAATTTATTCTGACCTTGATGCATTGTTGCTCAATGTTTGTTTTTATTGGTAATGTTATTTTATTCTAATATGTATCACCTGACGAAATGTTTTAATCATTTTAGTGTTCTTGAAAGTAAACATTGAGTTGTTTCTACTCTGTGATGTTTTTAAAACAAATTCCTGATATATTTATGTAAGGAAGTTAACTACTGGAAAAAATAAAATTGTTAAACCTATAATTTGTTTGTAAATACCTCTTCAACACAATTCTTGATTGAGAATAAAACTGTTGGAAATAATGAGATAAAACCATTATTTTTTATAAAAAGACCTTGTATTTTGAAGACAAGTAGTGCTTACAAAGGTATTTCTCTTTTCAGTGAAGACATTGACGTCCCATTCAGATTGACATACTGTATGTACAGTTGATATCAAATTCATCCCCAATCCCACCTCCCCCAGACTGCACAGTCTTTACACAGTCCAAGTGACACATTATTTCATCAGTTAAGAAAAGGTGAAGCTGGTCACATGCACAACTTCCTCCCACTACACGGGTTCACAGCGCCTTGTCAAAGGAGTCCATCAAATAGTACAAAAAACAACACTGACTGAATGACAAGATTGTTATTTTCCCTCCGCTCTTATCCAGAGAGGCAGAGGCTCCACCAGTCTTCCTCCAACCAGCCAGCTTCCATGTGGCGACATTCAGTAGTCTCCAGGACACACTGCCGCAAACATTACCGTCATCTTCTCTCCCACACCCGGGCTGTCATTCACGTGATATGACAGTCAAGGGTGCTGGAAGAATGTTAAAGAACCGCTGAAGACAAAAAGGCTCCAGGCTCTTTAAACTGTCCAGGAAATTAACAAGCTCAGCATTTCTTCACAGAAGAAAGTCCTCGCTTCACGGTCGGTGGAACCTGGAGAGACAAACATGCAGATAAGTCGAGTGTGAAGGGGAGAAGTACACATTGTGAGAACAGAGGGTGCCTTTGTCTCTGCGCACAGCCAGCTATCATACCAGCTATTAATCAGATCAGTGAGGCTATTTTTAGCGCGATCATTAAATGTGTGCAGGGAATGGTCACGTTCTCGCATCCAGCCGCCCCCCCCCCCTTGGATCACTTTTACAACTCGCAGCAAAGACCCCCGCTTTCCTAACAAGCTTAGCCAAGGACGCCGTGGCTTTTAAAAAAAATCATTTCTCTCTGCTTGGCAGTACAAGCTCTCCAGAAGGACAATGACTCCCACCGCCCCCCCCTTCCCCATTTTACAAGCACTCCCATCTATCTTTAGCTCCTCTTGGTGAGCAAGGGGGGCTAAAAATAGACCGCTGTGGCCCAGAATAGAACAACATGCATGCATTTGCCAAAACACAGACTACGTACAGACATATATTTCACAATACTGACCTCGTTAGGTGTTTGCTTGAGGCGTGCACTTCCATCTCGGTGCTTTTGAACTCGTTCAGCTCCTTTCGGATGGCAGCCTTTGGGAAAGAGAAAGAAAAAGTGTTAGCATCCCTGAGCCTTTGTGGGGCTCCATCCTCTGGAGAGCAAAACAACAGCAGGAGAAAAGGAAATATAATCAACCAAAGAAAATCTAAAGAGAACAGGTGTGTTGGTGTGATAAGCTAAATAACAACAACAAGCCATAGCAGTCATTTTGACGATGAAAGTATCAGAAGAATTTGGGAATGTTCTAATCACAAGGCGCTAAGTAGTGAACTTGATTTAGGGATCAGTCCAAGTTATTGTTTGCAGGTCAGTAGCTGTTATTTGTTTACTGTTACTAAGTATTCATTACTCTTTGCTCCACAGTATACACACCTTGTCTGCTGCCGAGAGCCGAGTCCAGGGCTTGTCTGCTCTCCTGTCATAGTCCTGAGCTTTGGCCACCTCCACATAGTCACTGAAGCGGATCAGAATCTTTCTGTCTCGCAATTCGTCTACTGTAGGCCGCTGGTTTAGCTGAAACACAAGAAATTGGATAAACATTAAGAACAAGCCGATGATAGGAGTCCCCATGTTTTGCTGTAATCAGAAACTCATTTGAATATATAGGGAGAATACAAAATCACGCAGTTTTGTACCTTTCTGTTTAGCCTCTGCTTGATCTCCCTCCTCTCCTCTTGCTCTGTCTGGTCGTTCCTCTCTGGAAAAAAACAACCAGACAAATAAGGAATGTAAATATATCAGTAAGTAAACCATTTAAAACACAGCAGGGCATTAGGTCAAAAAATGAACAAAGATAGATTAAATGCCCATAATGTAATTAAACTAGTGTAGAAATATGTAATTCATATAAAGTTTGCATATCCAGAGTGTACAGCTGCAGTTGCTATAGATGTGCACTCAGGCGATCTCCTGCTCCTGAATAATGTACACTGGACGATCTGTGCTATCACTAATGCATTATCTTGCCCTGTGTTTTTCATCATGGCTTGTCCATATGTATTTAGTAAATATTATTATTCCGGGGCGGTGATGTCAGTTTGGAGACAGACATTCAAGTGTTAATCTTACGTTTCAGGATGTTCCGACCCTCCAGCTCCTCCACATTCGGTCTCTGGCTCAGCCTCCTGCGGAGAAACACCAAAACCACGTTTTGAACCATTTTTCCCTGCACAGCCCCGCTGCTCTCCCTCTGTAAACTGGCTGTAGCTTCTTCACTGTGCGCGTTCTCGAGAGGAATCCCCTATGTCTCCATCTTGCATCCAAACCCCGGCTGTGGTGCTTCGGCAGAGGCGCTCCCCACATCTGGAATAGTGAAGAAGCGCAATTCTCCTTTTTGAGAATCCCCCACCAGATTGCTTCTCGTTTTCAAGGTGCTGTATCTCGGTTGCAGCTGCTGTATTGCGATAAATGTACTCCGCAGCAGCAGCTCGGGCTCTCTACTATCCGACACAGACTACAGGAGCTTTTGAAGTGAGTCGTGACGGGCTGCCGGCGCGAGACTCCCCTAGTTTCCCCGGTAACTGCATGCATAATGAGGAGGAGGCGGAGCCTAGCAGGTTGCTACTCACGGCATCCCCAGCATCCTCCTGTGTACACTGGGCTACTGGCACACATTATATACCCACGTTGTTACTACAGCTCATCTTGTTTCTGGTCACGTAACCCCCAGTTCTTGCAAAGAAATAAATAATATTTTTCAACAGGGAATATGTGATAGCCTATTTTACGATCTGATATTCTTCTGTATTCTAATGTCTATGTTAAGCCTTTCAGATCACACTTACATAGCCCATTAATTTCAGGCTGTCGTGTTCCTTCACCATCAAAGCATCCGAAAGGTCTCCAAATCAAATGTTTTCCCGGAGTCCCCTGTGCGTGTGAACTATTCATACTTTGTATAAATAATAAATGTAAGCTGCACAACAGGGCTCAGCCCGACAGCATGTGGCACGCCCCACACAGCACACCTCCAGGGGTGGAAAGGACAGAGAGGGCAGAATGCCGCCACTCAGCAGGGCTCTCTATGCCTTCACCCAAGATAACACCGGACACTTTGTTGATCTGTCCTGTGAAAGATCAAAGTTAGGTCACACAGACTGAGACCTGGATGCCCACAAAGCACGTGGCCCAGTGCGTGTCTCTGTGTACCACTGGCACGATGGGCACTGACAAGCTAATTCAATTATGTTGGCCTTAAAGTGGGACTTGAACAAATTCCAAACCACAGAAAACTCCATCAAAACAGAAAATGCCTCACTACTAAACTGCATCATGTATAAGCTTTTAAGATTAGTTTTTAACATAACAACATTGGCAGAGGAAAGAGAGCTGTGTGACAATTACACTTGTAGATATTTATACAGTAATGAGTACAAGAGCAATCAGGTCTGTGTTAATTAATACACATGTGACGAGACATCCCAGAATAACATGAGGAACAAGGCAATATTTGTACTCCCCTCTGAGAAATAAGATAACAAATGTAGCACTAACAGAGGGTGGTCCAGAGCCATTTCAGTCTCATGGTCAGTAAGCAGGTGTTTGATCCATGTCTTTCTTCTTGCTTTTTATCATCCTTCTCTGGGAGGTTCCCCTTTTTTATTATAGCAGTTTTAGATCAAATTACCCACGTTTTATGCTTCTATCATAAAATGTCATGAGGCGGGGAACGGCTCAATACGACGACTCTTTCGCTTCACGACTCTCCGCTAAACTAACCAATAGACAAAGTGTTTCCAAAGCTCTTACAGTATTACATTTCAAACAGATGACACGGAAAATCACTTTCAAAACCCCAGCGAATACGACCAGCCACTGTATTATTGACCTGGCCGCGGAGTTGCTAAGCAACAACACTTGGTATCCTTGAGACAATAGCATCTCCTCGCAGAGATTCTTGCTTTTCCCTAGCAACAGACTAATGGGGAGTTCAGGACTGCACACAGAGCTGTATGTGCTTTACAGAGAGTCTCCAGCTATTTATAGCATCACACCATCTCTATGGCGCGGAGCCGAATAAATCAGAGATCGCTGCGAATACAAAACACTATTTTGGTCACATAGTCACATGTCCTTTGTCAGACACAATAATCACAAACCTTATCACTTTTCTGCTCTTGGGTGACAGGAGATAGTTGATGTATTGATAATGAGATCACCAGAACCTACTGCTTTCCACATTTGGGTCTAGGATATTTCATAATAAGATTTTGAAAGGTATCCCCCATGATGACGCATAAACGCCTGTTGGCATGAGGGTTCCCATTTCCCACTCGGAAAAACAAAAAAATTAATTACAAAAGAAAATCTAACTCTGTCCTCCACGGGAGGGATGACAAATCCAAACAAAGGAATAGAAAAGAAACGAGTGGGTGGCAGAGGCTCTCAGTCTGTCCTTTTATTTCATCTACCGACTGCAAGGAGACACAAATGGCCATTTCCAGTTTTTCTTCCTTTAAGTACAGTAGCAGCCCCCCCCCCAGGCTCCACCACCCCCGCTATATCTGCTGGTATAAGTCCCTGACAACACATTGTGGAGAGAAAGGCGAGCATGGGGAGATGCATTATTGAACAGAGTCAGGAGCTAAGAATAGAAACAGCAGAGTGCGGCTGCAGCACAATCGCCTGGCCGGGAGTCTCTAAAGATAGAAAGGTCATCTGTCACCGACACAATGGACAGACAAGATGTCGTTATCTGCCATAATACCTGATGGCAGTTTCTGCTTGATCGGCAA